GAGTTTTGGAAGGGATTTGGGAAGGAAAAATCAGCCAACAGCTGTGGGGAATTTCGGCCAGCAAGGAGGGGAAGCGTTTGAATTAATTCCTTACTTAGGAGTAGTGGATTTGGAAGGAATTAAAGGGAGATTAATCAAAAACTGACATTTAATTTCAGTTTTGATTAAATTGGGAGGGAAAAGACTTGAATTTTGAATTTCAAGTCATAGGCATTAATGCCTTGAATGGGGGAATTAATGGAGGGGAGCCAAGAGGGGAGGAGGCCGGCGGTTTTGGAAGGGAGAGGGGAATGGGAGTTTCATTTCATAATCTGAAATTAATTTCAGATTATGAATGAAATTAAGGGGGGTTATTTTGAAATTTGAATTTTGGATCAAGGCATTGATGGCATTAAACTAGCATTAAATGAATTTCCCCCTTGATGAGGCCGGCGGCATGTAGAGAGGAGAGGAGGGAGATTAGTGCGAATAAAGCAATTTCCAATTAGGAGGATGCCACCTAGGATGAGAATTAGTAACTCCTCATGCCATGAAATTTGAATTGGATTCAATCCAATTCTTTCCTTATTTGGACTTTTGCAATTATGGAAATTTTGGAGTTCATTCAAATTTGAATTTTTGAAATTTGAAGAACAAGGTGGGTGATGAGAGAGGTGGCCGGTGGTGGAGCTTGGGCGGAGGTGGTGGGGGGGATGTGGCCGGCGGTCAAAACGAAGGCCGGCAGCTTGGCTTCCAAGGGGGCGGCGGAAAATAGGGTTGGTAAGGGATTTTCTTGAGGTGGAGGAGAAGGAAGATGGAGGTGAATACGAAGGAGAAGATAGAAAACCTAACCACGAGCCGCGGACTCGTCCAACGACTGGTGGGCCTTGCGATTTGCTCCCCTTGAGCTCTCTCTCCCTTCTCAAGCTCTCATGCAAGAAGAAGAAGAAGAAACACACACAATTTTTTCATTCAAATATTCATTCATCACCCTCTCATGAAGAGAAGGCCTTAAATAGCCAATGGAAGAAAGAAAAATATAAAGATCAAATTGCCCCTAAGGCTAACACATGACGAGGCCTTTAAGCAAGGGCATAAACGGAAAGAAATACAATAGACTCATAAAACATAAAATAAAATATATCAAATACAATAATAATCGAAAGTAGATCGTGGCCGTAGATCATTGATCTTCTGATGTCCTCATCATAAAAGCTACTGTTTTACAAGGCCAACCTGCTGTCCAAGTCTTCTAAAACATCAAAGCTGCTGAGAGATCCTCTCGTTTGCAAACCCTCCTCGTTCTACATCAATAACTCCCAAGGATATTTCTTTGTAATTAATGAAATATTTGAGACTGCTTTCTAGGAATAGTGATCTCTTGGGTTGGAAGTTGGAACCAATGTTAATATGATTGAAAGGCACACCATAACAGTAGTTTGTCTTCATTGTTAGTAGGACATACAATTTAACTATTCCTAGGCGAATTTGAAGAAAACAACAGTTTCTGGTTACCATGCCACTCTCTTCATTTTATGGTAAACAAATTTTGTACACAATTGTGTGCATCTTGCTCTTGCATCAGCTCAAGTTTGTAGATGAACTGGAAGTTCTTTTTGGCTCTTATGCATTCTATTTTAGTTTTTCTCTTCTTTGTGAATGTCTATGATTCTGTTTATAGTCATAGTTATTGATTTACGTAGCTGTGAGTTTTTTTTTTCTTTCTGGAATTCTTATAGCCTTTTCTACGGCTTATGTATAAGCATGCTCGTTTTAATATTTGTTATAGAACCATGTCTCTTTTTCATCTTTTTTGTTGATAAAATCTTTTATGCTGATTTTGCAGAAGGTTTAGCTAAGAAACGCATACGTATGGGAGTTGCCAAAAAGATAAAAAATGCTTCTCGGAAAATTCTCCTTGACAAAGCAGAAGAAGCAAGTGTTGCTGCCTTCTCTGCTTTCAAGTCCCTTGGAATTAATATTCCTCAAATTTCTCGTCCTATGCTGTCTAAGATTGCTGAGAGTTTTGAACATGGTAGTACCACTTCTAAATCCGCTGAATCGCTTTTTGACAGATCAACTTCACAGGATAGAAAGGCTACCAGGTATCCTGCAGAAGATAACAAAATCATGGTGTTAGATAACAGTTCTGAAGAAATTGTAGTACAAAAGCTTAGCAAAAAAAAAGATGGTACTATGTTGACAACTGGGGAAATGCGGCACAATCACAATATGGATAAGGCTTTGGTAAAGTTCAATTCTGATCAGTTACTTGACAATCTTGTCAAACCAATGGGTGCATCTTCCCCCACGTTGGGACCTGCCAATGAAGTGCATATCGTGAAGCATGATTCTGATAATAAAGAAAAAGATATGGAACAAACTTTAACCATCCACAGCAACGCAAGACGCTTTGACAAAGGTCCCTCTTGTGCAAGTACATTTCCTGGTGGTTTTGATTCCTTCTTGGAACAGTGGGATCTGAAGAGGGAGTTCTATTTTGATCTTCATTACTCCAAGTTGCCAGATCAAAATTCCTCTCTACGGTTTGAAGTTTTTGGTTTGGCTATTTGTTGGGAAAACTCACCAATATACTATGTCAATTTTTTGAGGGATTTTTTACCATGTAAAATGGAAAGCAGTTATCATGATGAATTAACCAATCGAGAAGGTGGTATTATCAAAAATCTTGCGTCTTTTGACATCTGGTCTTTTGCCAAAAGTAGATGGGAAAAGTTAGGCAAGATAGTAAGTAAAAATGGTTCTCGTAAATTATGTTGGAACTTGAAAACGCAGATCCAGGTTTTAAAATTCCCATGTATCTCGCTTCAGAGATTCAACAGGCTTGGACTTGAGCTAAAAATGTTGAATGACACTGAGCTTATTGGTAGTTCATATATTTTGCTGCCAACCATCTCCGTGCATGATGGGATTGATTTATGTTTAATGACGTGGAGCCTTTGGCCTGATGATGAGAGCAAGTCCGCTCCCAGCCTTGAAAAGGTAGATATATGCTATCGAGCAAGCAGTTTGATATTAGTTTCCATGGTCTTGAGTGGTAGAAATCTTCAATAACTAGATTATGCTTTAACCTTCAAATTCTGCAGCAATGTTTAAAATCTCTTCTTGGTTAGGGGATCGTAAGCAAGTGAAGGTGATGTGAAACAATCCCATGCAAAAATGATTTTCTTAATGAAGTTTGCACGTTTAGATTTAGATGCCATAATAAGTAAGATCTTATGCGGAATTGAACGATAAGATAAATATTAAGTGGTACTTAGCTTAGGTTAATTCACATGCATATAAGTTAAGTTCAAAAGATAGCCATCGTAATCCAACATTGCATACATGGATTGTTCCAACAATAAATTCCAATACTAACAATAAGATTAGGATATGAAAGATCCCACACACAACTCTTCTAATTACTAGGCTTTAGTGGTGAAGAGCTTGACATGAGCTTTGTGACTCCAAATATAACCACACTTGAAGGGTGAATTAGGAAGATACAAACGTAGGAAGAAAAGTTTACCAAGGGAAGACAAATGTGGAGCTCCGACGTTGTCGTTTGAGTGTTTGGGGAGGGATGGACGGCACCACGAATTTTCTGGCCGTTTGGGACAGCACTTTGACAACCCTTGGGTAGTAGACGGCACTCAGGAGTTCACCAATCAGCTGGACTAAAAAAACAGGGTTGCAAAACTCTCTGGGACGATGCGTGGAATGCTGGTCAGCAGACAAGAGCAAAACCTGGCAGCACTATGGCTGGTTGGAGCTTCCCGGACAGCAGTTTCTACTTGGTAAATTGCTGGACAGCAATTTACTGCCGGTTTTTGGAGTTAGGTTTTGAATTTTGAATCACCAACTCATGTGATCAATGCCATAAAGTGGCATTTAATGGAATTAATCCCAAGCAAGTGTTGACCTATGTGTAAAGAACAAAAAAAAAAGAGAGCAGCTCACCTCGTATCTGTCGAGGAAGTCCAGAAAATCAGCGGATATCCCGCTGAATTCGGCGCCGAAGCAATCTTTTCCCGGATTTCTCGCAAACAGCTCGTCGATCGCGCCATTCGCATCGTTAAATAGAAGCTGAAGCCTCCGACTCTTCTTCCACTCACTCGTTTCCTCTCATCCCGAGCTCCTTCACATTCACGATCTCCTCTGCAAGCTCTCTCTCCCGATTCTCCCTCTCCCTTCTCTGTTCGACGCCGCCCCTGCCGGGATCGGAAGTTACGACATTTTGAAAGGAAGCACGACGGGAGCTCGCTGTGATCGCAACTTTCTCCCTATCACGCGCTTCTTCGGCACCCTTCAACGCTGTTCGACTTCGCTCTTCCACGACTTTCCCTTCCAGTTGGACCGGAAGATACGACATTTCGATCGGAAGCAAGAACGGGTAGCTCGCCGGTTGTGAAGGAAACCTCCAACCTCTCGTGCGCTTCTTCCCTCATCTCCGGTCCTTTTCGACGCCGCTCCTTGAACGACTTGCCCTGCCTGTCGGATCGGAGGTTACTACATTTTGATCGGACGCAAGCACAGGAGCTCACGGGCAGTGAAGGTAACTTTCTCTGCCTTTCACGCACTTCTCCAGTCAAATCCCGTAAGTCAGCCAAACAGAGGTAAAGGAGTCAGGGATCATTAATGACATAATTAAGTTTAATTAGAGTTGATTTTTAATTAATTATAATTTGTTTTAATTGTAATAATTTTAATTAATTATATTTATTATCATTAATTAATGATTAATTT